GGGATGGGATGGGATGGGATGGGATGGGATGGGATGGGATGGGATGGAAGGGACTGGCCGGATGAACCTGAGCATCTAACCAGCCACACAGTTCCACTTCTGTCCCTTTTAAACTCTGGGACAAGTGGTTTCACAGGAGCACCCTCAGGAATGAGATTGAAGAATGTTCTGTCTTCTTAAACAAGAAAAATACACCGGCAGTGTTTCCTCTGTTCTTCTGTCTTGTGTATTGCTGGTCTGTAGCCAAAGCAGCCCAAGTCAAGAAAGTAGAAGAAGTACAGGAAGAGTACAGGAATGCCGTCCGGACTTGCAGACGTGGGATCAGGGAAGCCAAGGCGCAGGCAGAACTGAACTTGGCAAGGGACGTGAAAAACAATAAGAAAACCTTCTACAGGTACATTGCCCAGAAGAGACAGGCCAAAATGGGCGTACCTACTTTGGTGAATTTAAAAGGAGAACTGGCTTCAACAGATGAAGAGAAAGCTGAGGTGCTGAATGAGTTCTTCACCTCGGTCTTCACTGGTGGCCAGGATTCTAGTCTTTTTCACGTCCCTGAACCCTGCATCCCCAAACCTCTATGTGGGGACCAAGGAGGTAAATCCCTCCCCACTGTAAGGGCAGAGCAAGTCCGAGAGTGCCTCCTTAGACTGAATGAATACAAGTCTATGGGGCCGGATGGCGTGCATCCCAGGGTCCTGAAGGAGCTGGCTGAGGTGGTTGCCGAGCCGCTCTCCATCATATTTGAGAAGTCGTGGCTGTCAGGTGAGGTCCCGAACGACTGGAGGAAGGGTCATGTCACTCCCATATACAAGAAGGGGAGCAGGGAGGACCCGGGGAACTACAGGCCGGTGAGTCTCACCTCCGTGCCTGGGAAGATCATGGAACAGATCCTCCTGGACAACATGCTCGGTCACATAAAGAATGAGCATGTGATCCGAGACAGCCAGCACGGCTTCACCAAAGGAAGGTCATGCCTAACTAATCTTGTGGCCTTCTATGATGGAGTGACGGCATTGGTGGACGAAGGGAAGGCGACCGATGTCATTTACCTGGACCTGAGCAAGGCCTTTGACATGGTCCCCCACCACATCCTCATCTCCAAATTGGAGGGAAGTGGATTTGATGGGTGGATGACCCGATGGATAAGCAATTGGTTGAAAGGCCGCAGACAGAGGGTGGTGGTCAATGGCTCTATGTCCAGGTGGAGGCCGGTAACAAGTGGTGTCCCCCAGGGGTCTGTCTTGGGACCGGTGCTCTTTAACATCTTTATTAATGACATCGATGAGGGAATTGAGTGCACCCTCAGCAAGTTTGCTGACGACACCAAGCTGAGTGGTGCGGTTGATACGGTGGAAGGAAGGGATGCCATTCAGAGGGACCTCGACAGGCTGGAGGGCTGGGCTCGGGTGAACCTGATGAGGTTCAACATGGCAAAGTGCAAGGTTTTGCATTTGGGCCGGAAGAACCCCAGGCACCTGTACAGGCTGGGAGGAGTGGTCCTTGAGAGCAGCTCGGCAGAGAAGGACCTGGGGGTCCTGATGGACGAGAGACTGAATATGAGCCAGCAGTGCGCTCTGGCAGCTCGAAAGGCAAATGGGATCCTGGGCTCCATCAGGAGAGGGGTGGCCAGCAGGGACAGGGAGGTGATTGTCCCTCTCTACTCGGCTCTTGTGAGTCCCCATCTGGAGTACTGTGTCCAGGTGTGGAGCCCTCAGTACAAGAAAGACATTGAGATTTTGGAAAGGGTCCAGAGGAGGGCGACTAAGATGATCAGGGGGCTGGAGCACCTCCCCTATGAGGACAGGCTGAGGGAGTTGGGCTTGTTCAGCCTGGAGAAGAGAAGGCTGCGGGGTGACCTCATTGCAGCCTATCAATACCTGAAGGGAACCTACACCCAGGAGGGGAGTAAACTCTTCAAAAGGGCTGATAACAGCAGGACTAGGGGAAATGGTTTTAAGTTGAAGGAGGGAAGATTTAGGTTGGATGTTAGGGGGAAGTTCTTTACTAGGAGAGTGGTTAGGCCCTGGAACGGGCTGCCCAGGGAGGTTGTGGATGCCCCGTCCTTGGACGTGTTTAAGGCCAGGTTGGACGGGGTCCTGGGCAACCTGATCTGAATCTGTATGTTTGGTGGCCCTGCTAGGCAGGGGGGTTGGAACTACATGATCCTTGAGGTCCCTTCCAACCCGGGTGATTCTGTGATTCTGTGATTCTGTGAAGTCTGCTCCCAGCCACAGCTGAACAGTGGGAAACAATCTAGTCCAACACTTCCATTCATTCTGGGAGGGGTGCATGAGATCAGAACTGGCTGGAAAAGTTCACACCTCCTAAGATACTGAGTTATCTCTTGCTCTTACCCAGAAAGATTGCTTTCAGTGAGGTACAAAAGTCCTACCTGCTGTTGTAAATGCTGCAGGATATTTTGGTTTGCTGGACTGATGACAGGTTTTCAATATTCAGGCTTATATATCAGGTTTTCTTGAAATGTTCTTCATCCCCTTAGCTGATACAAGAAGTTACATACCACTTTTCTCTCTAATTTTTCAGAGACCGCCTTAGAACGACCACCAACGTCCTGGGGGACTCTCTGGGTGCTGGCATTGTGGAGCATCTCTCCCGGCAGGAGCTGGATGCGCAGGAATGCGAACTCGGTAATTCTGGGATAGAGGAGAAAGAGCAGCCCTGCCAGCAGGTCTGCACACACAGCAACATCCTCAGGCACCCCAGCAGGGAGACAGCGCTGTGAAGTCAGGCAGCATTACACACTCATGCTGTATAAAGCCAAGACTTAAAGCAGAAGTCTTGGGGGCCAGAGAGGAGGACAGAACACGACAGACTTTCCAACATCTACACTGTTCTCCCCAACATGCAGTCTCCCCTGATCCCTTTTATCCCCCATCTCTTTCTGATTGACTTTAAAGAGGAGAAAATTAAATGGCAAAGAAACTTTTGTTCCATGAAAGCCTGGTTTAATCATTCTTCCTGGAGCTCACGAGCTAGACCTGAGTAAACAAGGTGCAGTGGATGAGCTGGACCAGGAGCTCCCTCCATTGTAGTTGAGCTGAAGTTGAAGCATAGTTAATGGACAAGGTGGGCTGGTGACACCCCCCCTACGGACTGGCACCAGGATGTTGGCACGATAACTATTGCTAATCCTGCAGATGCAGAGTAGCAAAGCCTTCACTTGGTCAGTGGCTTCCCTTCAAGATTTTGGCAGCTTCGAGACCTCTGGTGGGCACCAGGGCTCCACTTCGACTCTTCAGTGGCCAGTGCTTGTGAAAAACCAGTGTTCTCCTTGTGTGCACTGCCAGCGTTTGCACAGTGACACCACCGATGCCTCCTGAGGTCTCCTCACCCCTCTGGCAATCCTTCTGGCTGTGGGTACTGAGGTCTTCTATCTCTCAAAAGAAGATGGGACCAAAGAATAGGGACAGGGCTGTGCTGGTTGGCAGCACAGAGGTCAGAATGGCTTTCCATTCATGGAAGCAGTGAATTATGAAAGCAGCAAACAAATAATGGAACGGATCCACTGTCCAGCCTTTGGACCAGTTCTCCTCTCAGCCAAGCTCTGCCGAACAGTTCACTTTGTTTCTTCTAAACATCTCTTCCCTTAGTGAAAGCAGAAGGGGAATTGCAAAGCTTAAGAGCAGTGCCTCCCCGAGCAGCTGGTGCTGCCTGCGTGCCAGGGCTGCTCTGTGCCAGCTGTTTCTCAGCTCAGAGGCAGGGACAAAATCACAGAGCTGTCCTGTGCTCTTCTTGCATTAATTACCTTCATCCATGCTGAAGTGTCGCAGGGAGAATGCTGCTGTCTTGGGCTTTTCTCACACTTAAAGTATGCTTAAGCTGTGCTATCAAAGCTGGTCGGACTGTGCCTGCAGCATTTGCTGCTAAAACAAGAGAAAGGCGACGGTCTGTTTCTCACAAATTTTTATAAGCTTTGATTTTGGAGTCCAATTTTTGAGGCAAAACTGAGCCCTCCAGGCAGAAGGCTGGAACACGTGGTGTGCAGCACTGTTTGTTACTCTCCACATTCAAGTAAAGGATTACGAATGTTCTGAACATCCGAGCAGCTCCTTGGGCAGCAATTCTGGGAGTACAGCTGCAGGTACAATTACAGAAGTGCATCATCTGGGAATGTCTGAAATGCTGAAAGGCAGCACCAAAAGCTGAAATCCAGCTGCCCCAAAAGCTGAAATCCAGCTGCCCAAAAACTTGGCTGCAATGCTGTTTCTACTTAGAAATAGAGCAGTTTCTATGGTTTTCAGAATATATTGGGAAGAAAACCAGTCTTTTATAAGACTTATGGAAAATTGGACAGGAAAAGACCCCCAGACTCCAGGCAGGAATGCAGGCAATCCCAACAGGCCTCTCTGAGCAGTGCTGATCTCCAGGTCATACGCCCCAGTGCATTTTCTCCCCCCTGACATAACCCTCTCCTTGTCACAGTGTAGGAACGTTGTCTCTCATCCTGACTTGGTGAGTGGGATAAGAAATCGTTATCCTCCCCTTTGCATGAATATAATTATGATGTCTGCTCTTCTCCTTTCTAGACTAAACAGAGGCAGTTCTTTCAGTATGCCCTCTCAGGTAAAAATTACTCACAGTCCCATCCTCTGGACTTTTCCCTCTCTGTTCCACACCTTTCTCCAAGTGGATTGAGGACAGCTGGGCAGAACGATCCAACTGAAGATCTATTAGCACAGAGGAAAGAACATTTCATGCACACTGAGATAGAGACCTTGGCTTCAGCTTAGCATGGGTAACAGCACGCTGCTCAGGGGAACTGCTCACAGCTGCAACAAATTCAGGTCTGCTCAGCTTATCTTAAATCCATCAGGTATCCTAGCGAGGTTAGACCTGAACTTTGATGAGATGGCTGTATCTGAAGGCTGGATCTTACCCTAAGAGTTCTAAGGTGCGTTAGCTTGCATCTACAGTGAGCTAGGACAGCACTGGCGTAGCACTGACACGGCTCAGCTGACGTGAGTCCAAACCAGCAGAAAGAACAGACCTTACAAAATCCAACAGCATGATGATTTCACAGCAGCATGACAGCATTGCCTCCACCCCGCTGATGGTCCACGATAATTCCTACTCCATTTTAAGTAGAGCTGCTGCCTAGCCAGTAATTTCCCAGCCTATGTTTGAGCAGTTGATTACTGACTGTTACCTAAAAACAGTAATTTCTATTTATCCTTATTGAATCACATCTTGCTTTTCTTTTTTTTGCAGATTATTTGTCCAACTTCTCAAGAAAGCATTGAATTCTACTCCTGAAGAGACTTCTTGTATATATATATATGTATATAAAGGGCAAACCAAGGGATGAATTGGAAGACAAGGAGAGATGGTTGGATTGGACTCTAGCTCAAATGAAATTAATTCTGGGAAGCCCTACGGCGTGGGTTGTGCAGAGAGGCAGATGAGTTGATCATGAGTGTCCCTTCTGGCTTTGTAATATATGCACATGCTTTCTGGTTTAGAGGTACTGCAGAGGCTCTGCTGATTGTTTCCAAAAGCTATCAGAAAGGATCCTTATGGTAACTTCTCTGAACTCAGCAGGACTCTGACCTGTTTTCAGTTGCTGTTAGCAGATGTAAGCCTGTCACAAAGGGCTCTCATACTGCATTGCATTGGCATCATCTCACTTGTTCCCACCAGGCAGCATGCCCCAAGCCTTGCCATGTGATTTCTTGCCTTCAACAAAAGGTTAACGAGCACAGATGAGTAGATGGCTCCTTTTCCAATCTTGCAGGCCAGTTTGCTGTGAGGAGTTTCAGAATATTTTTTTGCTGTGGTGTCCACCCATGTTGTGGACCAATCTATGATCAGCATTATCCATTTGTTTACAACACCCAAGCAGTATGGTCAGGAATTTGCTTATATATGCACAAATATCTACATGCAGGTGTGTGTGTGCCTATGAATGGGGTGCACACGTACAAACACACACACAATCATTCTGCTGCTGATCCAAGGACAGGCAGTGCTGAACCCTCACTCTGTGAGGTTGCATCCTTAATTTGACACCCAGTGTGATTTGCAAAACTACTCCCATCCCTAAAACAACAGAAACTGTTTGACATTACAGTAATGAGTCTTCTAAAGCAAGGTTTATTAGGAAGGAGCTAATTGTGCTGACTGTGGGCTGTGGCTGCTCCCAGTGCGTACATCCCAAGGTCTCGGGTCCCCACACTGTCCAGCTTTGCAAGGAGGCAAGCTTTCAAGTGCTCAGCCAGGAATACAGAAGTGTTTGTACTCCTTCCAAGCTCAAACTCTGACCTCGTACCAACTCAGCCTTCAGAACTGCGCAACTGAAAACATGAAATCATGTTATCAGCTGTCTTTTTAAGTCATCGGCTATTTGGGAACGTGTGCGGTCTTTTCTTTACTGCAGTACTGCTGCTTCTAGTTGCAGAAACACAGCGAGTTTCTTCTCGTGGCAAATAATTTATCCCTGATGATTGGGTGGGCAATGTTTGGGCTGAAACGGGGAGCTGCTCGATGCACACAGCCACAAGGAGCTCTTGGATCAGGACACATCCCTTCAGAGGGAATTTAGGAGAGCAAAGACATGGGACGCAGGTTTTCACACAGCGGGCCGCAGATTCAGCACATGGTAGTTGTGTTCCTTCAGGGGCCGGATCTGCCCATGGAATCCAGAATCACGAAATCTTTTGCTCTCCGCAGGGGTGAAGGCGGTAACTGGAACTCACTGCTGCAGTGTCGTCGTCGCATTCGGGCAGTTTGACTGTGTTAATTGCCAAGGCCTTTCTTTCCATGCTGTGAGTTTCAGTGTCAATAAAGATAGTTTGCAGATTTGAAAAATAAAGGGAATCTTTTTCCACAGTGCTCCTCCATGACCTTTTTTCCCCCCCCCGCTCTTTTCCCTCAGAGCCGTGACCCCACGAAGTCAGGGATGCCGCGTTCAGCATTGCGTGTTACACGGCCTTATCTGCACGTCTCTGTGCTACAGGTCAAGAGCTCAATTCAGATTTTTACAAGGTCTTTCCCCAAAGCTTTTCCTTTGATGCTGCCTTCTGCGTATGTCTGCTATGGCACAGCAATAGAAAAACAGAAAAAGCACTCCTCCCACTGCTGTGCTACAGGGCCCTGTTCCCCCTCCATCTCATCACCTCCTGCCTGGCTTCCCATGGAGATGGGAGAAAGGGAATGGCTGTGATCCTCATGCTCACACGGCCTAAGTACCATCAGGCACCAACTCAAGAACAACTCATTGCTCTCTTTATTACATGCACAGCAAAAGGCAGCAGCCCCATCCCAGGCAGCACCAGCCCTGCTGTGTCATGGCCACATCACCAGGAGCAGCCACCAGCTCCAGGAACCACACCCCAACTGGCACAGCCATGTCACAACAACACAACATTGGTGGTGCCTCAGTTCCACAGTGAGCTTGGTGTCACAGCAACCCGGAATGCAGACCAGAAGGGCAGTGCCAAGCTGAGGTGGGCAGGAACAGCCCATGGGGATGGATGGGAGCTGCTCCTCTTCTGCCTTGCAGCCACACATGGGGACACAGCGGGACAGCGAGGTGCTCCTGTCCTCACCTGGATTCACCTCTGAACAAGAGGGCCACTCTGCAGGACAGATAAGTCTCTCCCATACTGTAACCCACCTTGGTCCTACAGGACCCTGCAAGCTCCCCAAAGACCCCGTGCTGCAAATCCCAGGTTTTGCCCTGGATTGCTGAAACCTGGCCCCACTGCAGGGCTGGCACCAGACCGACTGACTGCAGTG